TCTTCTGTATATGCTGACATAGAAGATCTGTAATGCCCATAATTTCTTTAATAAGATGCAACAAGAAAACAAAATCAAAAGATTTAATCTTCTTAAGTTCTCTAGCTGCATTTCCACGAGTAGAATAGTTATTGCCATTCTCTTCAACATCTTCTAAAACAGAACAAGTTGCAGCAAACATCCTAATCAAACTGCAAACAGAACTGAAATGTGAGCTCCAACGAGTTTTCCCAGCTTGTTGTAATGTACCAACCTAATTAAGTCCTCTCCTTGTTTCAAGCTCACCAATTTTCAACATTCTTGCAATTTCAAGTGCTTGAGCTTCCTTTAATTCATCACTTCGTTTGCAAGAAGAATTAGTCACACTAATAATAAAGACTGAATCGATGAAAAAATTGTGCACATATTTCACCTCTCTAGAAGCAGCAACCAATGCTAATTGCAACTGATGTGCTAAGCAATGAACTTAGTAGGCATAAGGACAATCATTTAAATTAAAAATAACCGATCTTTCCGTTTCTTTCTTCTAGGTGCGCATGTTTTTCATTAGTTTGGTCTGGGCTGTGGGCTGGGATTAGATTTTGGGGTGGGTTAATGGGAAATAAATTTTGGAGTGAGTTGATATAATATTACTTGTAAAATTTCTATTTTTTTAGACTTTTAAACAATTGGGTTTCTGCGAGTGGACTATGCTTTGGGGGAGAAAATATTTTTGGGGGGGGGGGGTTCAAAATTTTTCTTGGAGGGGCGAGAATTAAATGTTGGGGGGGTAAAAATAAAATTTTTGTATATATATACAATAAAAAAAAATTGTTGGGGGGGGGGGGGCAGCCCCCCTGGGTCTGTACTACGGTCCGCCCCTGTGTGAGGGGACTTTGACTCTTTTGAGAAAGTATCAACTATCAATGACATGGAGTAAAATGCTAGAATCTCTCCAATTGCATATATGTATTCGATTATTTTCATGAACAGAAAAGAATTTAATTAAACAGGTCTATTTTTCATTTTAGTATTAAAAAAATAAATGTAAAGTATGATATACACGTATGAAACTTAGTTAAAGGGAAAGTTCCCGAAATAGGACTAAAACAGTTTGAAAATTCCAAAATAGGACTGTCATGTTTTTTATTCCCAAAATAGGAGTAATTACTGCCAAGTTTGGAAAATACTGCCATGTTTGATGTTTGGTACTGCCAAAACATGGCAGTAATTAGTCCTATTTTGGAAATCAAAACATGTCAGTCCTATTTTGGAATTTCCAAACCTTTTTAGTCCTATTTTGGATAAATTCTCTTAGTTAAATAAATGTAAAGCTTATCCGGATTTTAAGCTTGAATACCGTGTTCGAACTCTAGCGATAAAGGCACTGCACTTGAATTCGAGCGTCGACGGCTGCGAAAGAGAAAGAGAAAAGAAAAAGAAAAGGGAAAATTCCCGAAATAGGACTAAAAAAGTTCGAAAATTCCAAAATAGGATTGTCATGTTTTTATTCCAAAATAGGACTAATTACGGCCAAATTTGAAAAATACTGCCATGTTTGAAGTCTGGTACTGCCAAAACATGACAATAATTAGTCCTATTTTGGGAATAAAAACATAGAAATCCTATTTTGGAATTTCAAACTTTTTTAGTCCCATTTTGGATAATATCTCAAAAGAAAATGTAAACAAATTGCGGAAAAACGACGCCATGAGTGCATTTAATTGGAAACCGGTAACTTAGTTGCTAAGTCGCTCAATTGAGCATTTTTTAATAGTTTGAAGGTTCAATTGAGTGCTTGTAATTATTTATGAGGGTCTAATTGATTTTTTTGGTATTTTAAAGGGGCTCATTTAACTGTTTTTCAATACTCCCTTCGTTCTTTATTATCTGTCTCGCATTCCTTTCTAGGACGTTTTTTATTTGGCCTTCTTTCCATTTAAGAAAAGTTTTTGTTAAAATACCCTCACTTTTATTACTTTTACCCCACTTACTTTTTACAAACTACTTTCTCTTTCCTACTTTATCATCACTTTACTCTACATAATATACTCTCTTTCAAACTTTATCATCACTTTACTCTTTTTAATATACATTCTTTCTTACTTTATCATTTACCCTACACAGTTTATACTTATCCTACTACTTTATTATTAAAACCCGTGTCCAAGGCTAGTATGACGGGGTTTTTTACCCCAAGGGGTGTCAGGGGGAGAGGAGTTTTGGGAGGCCTGGAGTAAAATGAGATCAATCTCACTCCGTTGAGAATTGAACTCGAGACCTTCCATAGGGAGAGTGAGTGACGGATAATAAAGAACGAAGGGAGTATAACAAGATGTTCCAAAACAAAGTGAGAAGTGAGAACTACGCTTTAAAGGACTGTTTTCTATCGCTTCTAAAAGTAATTTATGCTTTTTCATTAAAACCGGTGTAGTATTCACAAATAAATTATTTTGATTAAATTAAACATGTTAAAAGCTACGGAGTAATAGTCATAAGGTGAGTATCCTTTAAGTTGATTTTTCATATTTTTCTATTATTAAAAAAATTCCTTTTCACGAAACAATCTAAGGGTATGTGTGACATAACTCACAAAAGTACCTAAAAATACTTTTGTAAGTTTCTTTAGTAACTATCGACTTTTGAAAAATATCATAAAAGCGAAAGGGATAAGTTTTTGATATAGAACTAATTGTTTGATTTAATTTCGTTTGATATACAAGCCGTCGTAACTAATAATTGTTAAATGCTATAGACTTTTTTCTCTGATGTTACTCAGTGTAGTTTCTCAAAAAGATCTTTTATTATGGTAAAAACTCTTAAAATTATCATGCCAAACATATAATTAAAAGTTTTAAGATAATTTTTGAATACTCCGTAGTACAAAAGACAGAAGATAAAATTTATCTATACCAAACATGCATTAACTTTTACATTCTAATAAAAGTCGTTTTTTTCAGACTATATATCAACTTTAAATAGAGTATAAAACAAGCTTGATGTAATCTCTAAAAACCCACTATTTAAAATGCTTAGAAAACACTAACAGTCCTTACACCTTAACATGCATACGACTTTGTGTATTTTGGCTTATCAACTAGACAACTAGAGTTCTTACCAAACATATTTCACTTTTTGTACTGAAAATACGAAATTAAAGAAAATGGCATTGCAAGTTGCAACCTTCATTTTAGATATTCCCTCTATATTTAAAAATTTTCTACACTTTTCAATTTGGGATATATTTAAAAGTTTGCGACACTTTCTCTTTTTGGTAAGCATTTTCTTTAAAAAATTAATTACCCTTATTTTTTCTACTTTTTATCTTTTCTGTCATACTTTTTCACATTCGCCCCTACTTTTTTTTTTACACTATTTATTACCTCTATTATTCTCCTCTTAAATCTTAGGCCAATATTTAATGTAGGGATCATTTAAATACAGAGGGGGAATACTATAGTGTTTTGTACTTGTGTAAGCTATTCATTAAGGGCCTGTTTGGTAATGGCTGCAATGGCTGAAAAGGTTGAAAAGATTGAAATTCTGAAGTGAAAGTGTTTGGTAATATATTAGCTGTTTTGACTGGTTGAGTGTGTAATTACTATAAAGGGTATCATTTTTTGTTCTGAAATACTAAAGCTTACCAAGAACACATATCAAATGTTTAAGTCACTTCATCAACATAGATGCAACAAAGATTCATAAAGGAAAAATTACCCTGCTGCAGTCCACAAAGAAAATAAAGAACACTTGAGTAGGGAATAAATTACACAAAAAAATCTTTTCATAGCCAGAAAGCCACAACCAAATTAGTGGGGTAATTAATTAAGGGCTTGACAATCGTTACCAGTTTTATTTTCAAAATTAAAGTAACAAAACATATCCTAATATAAGAAAGGCTTAGCTAATCAAACGAAGAATCACCTCTTGGCGAAAGAGACCTGCTCTGCATGCTTACCGAGTTAGTTGCAGGGCTGGAAGAAGAAAAAGAAAAAATGATAAAGAGATGAAGAGTGCTTACCATCTAGATCGAATATGGAGCCGAGGAAGAAATTCTGGATGCAGTGGACAAGGACATAGCTGTCTCTTAACATCTTAAGAGTACAAAAATAAAAACCAGCTCAAAAAGTAACTCTTGAGCTACTTTTTTGGCTGATAATAGAAATCAGCCACAACAGCCAAATGAAGGGATGTTTGTTTGTTTTTTTTTTTAACATATTTTCAGCCTGATCAGCCTATCTTTACTCTTCCAAACACCCTCTAAGCGCATTTCATTCTGCTTCTACGACACCTCGTAGGCTCGTAAACAATACAACTCAAATTCAACTCAAATTCTCTAATTCATGTCTACTACCAAAAAGCAGGCAAACAGCCCATGGTGTATATCGGTATCTTATTTCACAATTTATATTTCTTTGAACTTTAAAACAAAGATTGGGCATTCCCGTTACAACACCTTATTTGCTGGTTAGTTGAGCCTTTGATTTCTACACTTCACCCAAAAATTAGGGAACCTTATACATAATTTAAGCAATCAAGGATAAGTGGATAACTATATTGAACATTCTTTTATATATGAGGGGACTTTGATTCTTTTGTGAAAGTATCAACTATTAATGACATGGAGTAAAATGCTAGAATCTCTCCAATTGCATATATGTATTCGATTATTTTCATGAACAGAAAATAATTTAATTAAACAGGTCTATTTTTCATTTTAGTATTAAAAAAATAAATGTATATGAAACTTAGTTAAAGAAACATGTCATACACAAATGATAAGTGGCATAATCAGGAAAGTTAAGCGGGCTGAACGCCTGAACCTTCACCAATACATCACGGTTATGCAGGGTGCTTAAACTTTACAAAACCGACCTGAAAATAGTGTTAAACGGGTACAACCGTGACACCAGATAAGTAAATCAATGGCTGGATGTCTTTCCTAGACCAACTTCTGCTAAATATGGTCGTATGGTAATTAAGTTACCGTAGTCAGCACTCAGAAGATAGAAAACCCGAGCGTCGAGAATTAAACACAATTACTTCTATTACTAGAAGATTTTTTAAAATTTTAATCTCACTTCATCCAATAAAGTGATTAACCTTGATGATATTGGGGGGATTGAGGATTACAAATCCCAGTCATAGTTTTTTAAGACAATATAAACTTGTACATATACAAGAAGCATTCACGAACAATACCATAAGGTGGAAACCCATTCCACAAAATGCGATATGTGAGACATAGGAAGCGTGATTCCGAGATCACTTGGCATACACAAAATCGAAATCAGACTAAGTGGTACGAAGACTTCCCATATCTCCCAACATGAAATTAAAGGGTGACCGGAGTCTGGAAGAACAGGAATATCCTTTCTTCCAGGCCCACTCTCTATATCTGATACAAGGAGAACAAACCAAAGGGAGAGTGATCACTGATCAGTAAAGCAGGCACTCATCCACTCAGGACAGCATTCTTCCGGAAATCGAAACAATGGCAAAAACGTTCTTAAAGGTTCAATTAAGTTCCTCACATAAACGTATGCCAGTAGACTATTTCCTTTCACAAGAATCTGACTTCAAAATTTCTAATGCAAAACTTTGTAGTGATTGAAAAGTATCAACTGCTCCTCTTGTATCAATCGGCATCATCTTTGGCTGTTAACCCTATTTCCTGCATTTGATATTCAGAGGAAACTGAATGAGTCTCGGCAAGAAACCCGTACAAGCATAGAAGCATAGAATATGAAGTCTAAATCTTTCACAAAACCAACCACTCCAATTCAAGTACCAAGCTTGGGCTATAAATTAAATAAATCTTGTAATTGATGTTATTATTAGATTTAGTAAAATAATAACAAGTTCCATAACACACTCCCAAAATCCTTTAGTCTATCTAGAGTAACTTGGCTGCTGGTCTGAAAGCTGTGGCTAGGTATTGCTACCAGAGCTAGAAAGTTGTAATTTTCTCAATTGTGCTAAGAAAAGTACGTGTAGCAGAGAGTCACAAGTTGCAAAGTCACAAGTTGCAAACTCTAAAGACTGACCAAGGGAAATAGGGCTTGAAGAGAATCATAAGTTGCAAATTCTAACACTAAATAACACTACAGTTAACAAACAATTAAGTTAGCAGAACACAAAATTGCACATATGGAAGACAAAAATGTGATTTCAAAATTGCTAGCAATTGTCAACCACATGCAGTCCACAGATAAGAGCTAAATAATTTTTATATCAATGATAGACAAGATACAAGCCATGTTTATATTTTGGCATTTTAATGGAAACACTATCCCAAACCTCTCCCTTTGAAGCGCTTCCAAAACAAGTAGGTTCGACATTTTGGTTGAAAACTCAAACCTTGAATATTATTGTCAATATTGCATTATGGGCTTTAATAATATCTACCTTTCGTTTTCTGTAATCAATGGGTTGCACTCATAACATATCATTTTTGTAATTACCTTAAATTGATATGTTTTTTCGGAAATAATTTAAAGAATTACAAATATGAGCCACTGAAATATTAGCTGATAAGAAATATAAAACGGTGGATATGATAGATTCTCATTTGTAAAGATCTTGGCGTCCCCTAAAAATTCTTTCCGTTTCCTTTCAAAGAATGGTTTGTGTGGTTAACATTCATATATATTTATAGTAACACATGGTAAGACTCAATGTAGTGTAAAAGATTTTCAGAGCAGTCTTAGAGATGGCCTCATATCTGCACATGGGGGAAGCTTAGAGATGATATAATTGAGCTAAGAGAAGTGAATTATTCAATCGATAACAAACAAAATGTAAGGTTATTCCAGCTCAAAAGTTACGTGGAAACAACTGAGGGAGTGTACTATATGTACTATGTATACCATAACTTCTGAAACTATTTTGCGTAACAAGGACAGAGCTCGATCATGATGTTTCCCCTGACTACTTGACTAAGGACCAGTTATATGTTAATTACTGCTCCGGATTCATTGAAATATTGTTTGAAGTTTGGAGTATTACCCACAATCTGAATCAAACATGGATGGGAGAAACTCCACAGAAGAGCTTCCCCGGGATGAGAAGGCTGAAGAAATCACAAGCAACAGTGTGCAAGTGAATGTAGAAGAACTCATCCAATCGATGGAAACTCAGCTATTGGTTTTGCCGAAAATAACAACCAAATCGTCCAGTTGCAGCATTTTCCTGGTATCCCAGGTCTTCACCCATTCCGATGAGCCGTATCAACCTCGCACAGTCTCAATCGGTCCATACCACCGCGGGAAGCCGCGTCTGAAGGCGATGGAGGAGCATAAGTGGAGGTTCTTGAAGAGAGCGATAGCAAGGACGGGCGTGGGTATGGATCCCCTCATAAAAGAGGTCAATCTAGTAGAAAAACATGCCAGAGAATCGTATTCTGAGGCTATCCCTACTCCCAAAGACAAACCTAATGAGTTTTTAGAGATGTTGGTTCTTGATGGGGTCTTTGTGATTGAAATACTTCGGGCATTCAGCAATGTGGTTCCCTTTGACAAAGACGACCTCTTTGGATCAATGCAATGGATGCGTTTCCGTCTCCGCGACGACTTTCTCTGCCTCGAGAACCAAATACCATATGTCGTGCTCCAGAAATTGTTCGAACTTACTAAAATGGACAGCGATAGGTTGCCCAGCGGGAGCTGCCCTACTCTGTTCATCACGGCCCTCCACTTATTCACAATATCTGATGAAGTCGGAAGAGACCCGGAAGAGATCGGCAATCCTTTGGGTTGGGACTTTGAAGGGCTTCATCTTCTTGATCTAGTCCGGAAAAGTTATTTCCCGAAGCTGGACCCAAAGGTTTCAGCTTCGGGAAAGAGACCGAGTGGAGCTGAAAATGATTTGTCAGTTTCGGGCAGTTCCCAGGAGACTCCCAAAGCAAGGAATATCCTGTTGGAAACTTTGATAGTATTTCAATTGAATAACACTTTATTAGTCAATTTTATAAGTTAAATATTTTCATATATTCTATTAATATATTATTAAGTGAATCTGTGAATGTATGTGCATTTTTTTCAAATGCTAACGTCCTGCAATTATACGATCCACTACAGCTCTGAACTTCATAACGGTTTGGCGTGCAGGAGTTTTCAACATCAAAGTAATTTAATATTCCAAACGTTAGCTTAATAAAGAAATTTTAAAGTTTTGTAACTTCGGCCGTTTCTATCTGGATAGCAACGTTCGTGTTACATGTATATATATACATGTGTTCGACTATGCTAGAGAGACCCGAAGGAAAGGAATAATTTTGAGCTAAAAACATCCCCTAATATTTTCACTCTGCTGGATTAATATTATTTTCTACTCTCGTTGTTCTGTTACCGGTTTACACCGAAGAGCTCGTTATATCTTGGAGAAAGGTTTTCGCTAGACGGAAATACTTTCTTGAGGACAGCGTCTGACGCGTCTCGAGCTAGATTATTTTCTAACGTTATTTTTGCAGGTTTATCCGACCGAATTTCCAACAACAATCTCAAGAAAGTATTTGACGTCGGATATGTCTGCACGTGTGATCTCACAAGGCGTTGTCGCTGCACTCATCACGGCCATGTTATTCGTGCATGTGTGGTGTGATTTAGACTGGTATTTGGATATATCTCTACGTATAATGCTTACTCTTTTTACTTTCCTACTTACAATAAGCCATACTTTAACACCAATTTTTGAGAAAAATATTATTCCTTTATTTAGTGGTAAAATGACAACTATGAAAAACAACAACCCACTAAAATCAAGTTTAAACTTGGTTAGTAGTGATGATAATTTTATTGCGGTTGTTTCTCAAAGTTGTAAAATTAATGATGTAAAAACAAAAATGCTTTTACCTCCTATACCATTATAGGAGATGGTGAAGAGCTCGTGTACCTAGCGAACTCTAAAACTGTTAAGGTGCATGGAAAAGGGAAAGTTCTTCTTAAACTCACATCGGGGAAAACTTTATCACTAAATGATGTGCTTCATGTGCCCGAGATTCGGACTAATTTAGTTTCTGTTTATCTTTTGGGAAAAGTTGGGGTTAAAGTTTCTTTTGGTTGTGATAATTTTGTTATGACCAAAAATGATGTTATTGTGGGAAATGGCTATTGTAAGAAAGGACTATATATTCTTGGCATTTCTGAAATATTGCATGATAATGCTTTTGTCTATTTAGTTGATTCTTATGATGTGTGGCATGCTAGATTAGGACATGCAAGTAATTCTTATATTAAAATGCTAAATGATTGTGGTTTGATTTCTAGTAAAAATAAAATGACACTAGAAAAATGTGATGTTTGTGTTCAATCTAAACTAACCAAAAAATCTTGTCCCTCCACTTATAGGGAATCTGAATTGCTTAGTTTAATTCACACGGATTTAGGTGATTTGAAAAATACCATGACTAGAGGTGGTAAAAAATATTATGTCACATTTATAGATGATTTTTCTAGATACACTAAAGTTTATTTGCTTAAAAATAAAGATGAGGCTTTTGATAAATTTTTAGTGTATAAATCTGAGGTAGAAAATCAATTAAATAAAAAGATTAAGAGAGTTAGATCAGATAGAGGGGGTGAGTATATTTTATTTAATGATTTTTGTGAGAAAGAAGGGATAATCCATGAGGTCACTCCACCATATTCACCTGAATCTAATGGAATAGCTGAAAGAAAAAATAGGACACTAAAAGAGATGATGAATGCTCTTTTAATTAGTTCCGGTGCACCTGATAATCTTTGGGGGGAGGCTATTCTTTCTGCTTGTCACTTACAAAATAGGATTCCTCGTAAGCACTATAAGAAAACCCCTTATGAATTGTGGAAAGGCTTTGCACCTAATTTGAAATATTTGAAAGTGTGGGGGTGTTTGGCTAAAGTCTTATTGCCTGATCCCAAGAAGAGGAAAATTGGTTCTAAGACTTCTGATTGCATGTTTATTGGTTATGCTGAATCTAGTGCCGCTTATAGATTTCTTGTTTTGAAAAGTGATGTGCTTGAATGTGATACAATTGTTGAAACAAAAAATGCTGAATTTTTTGAAAATGTGTTTCCTTTGAAACGTGAACACAAGACCGTTGCACCATATAGTGAGTATGATCCATTACAAGGAAATGAAACCTTTAATGATGAACCCTCTAGTGATAGTTAGCCATTAAAAGAAAATGACTCTTTTAATGATGAACCTTCTCTTTTGAGAAGAAGTAAGAGGCCAAGGATAGAAAAATCTTTTGGAAATGATTTTTATACATATCTTGTTAATGATGAACCTTTAACTTATTCACAAGCTATTTCTTCCAAAGAAGCTCCTTTTTGGCTTGAGGCCATACAAAACGAAATTGATTCTATCAAACAAAATAAAACTTGGATTTTAACTGATTTACTGAAAGGTTGCAAACCAATCGGATGCAAATGGATTTTTAAAAAGAAATTAAATCCGGATGGTTCAATTGAGAAATACAAAGCGAGGCTTGTGGCAAAAGGGTTTTCTCAAAAGCAAGATGTTGATTATTTTGACACATTTGCACCGGTAACGCGTATTTCTTCTATACAAACTTTAATTGCCTTGGCTTCTATTCACAAACTTTTTGTCCATCAAATGGATGTTAAAACTGCGTTTTTAAATGGTGAGCTAGAGGAAGAAATTTATATGGTGCAACCGGAGGGTCATGTAGTTATTGGTGAGGAACACAAAGTGTGTAAGTTGATCAAATCTTTATATGGTTTGAAACAAGCTCCAAAACAATGGAATGAAAAATTTGATGAAGTATTATTTTCTCATGGTTTTACCTCACTAGAAGTAGATAAGTGTGTATACACTAAATGTGAAAATGGTGTGTGCATTATTATTTGCTTATATGTGGATGATATGTTAATTTTTAGTAGCAACCTTGATTTAATAATTGAGACAAAATCCTTTCTTGCTTCAAAATTTGTTATGAAAGATTTGGGGGAAGCAAAAGTGATTTTGGGTATGAAAGTCATAAGGAAGGATGATGGTATTATACTATCTCAAGAGCATTATGCTGAAAAACTTCTAAAGAGGTTTGGACACTTCGATGTCAACCCTGTGAGCACCCCTTATAACTCTCATACACATTTGAAAAAACATAGAGGTGATCCCGAGGCTCAATATGAGTATTCCCAAATTATTGGAAGTTTATTACACTTGATGAATTATACGAGGCCCGACATAGCTTATGCTGTCGGAAGATTGAGTAGATATACTCATAATCCAAGTGGGGATCATTGGACCGCGTTGAGGCGGTTACTTAGATATTTGAGAGGTACCATTAATTATGGTATATTTTATAGTGGGATACCCGCTGTACTAGAGGGATACAGCGATGCTAACTGGGTCTCTGACTCAGATGAGATAAAATCCAACACTGGATATATATTCACCCTTGGAGGTGGTGCCATTACGTGGAAATCAACCAAACAAACTATAATTTCTAGATCCACTATGGAGTCCGAGCTTATTGCTTTGGAAGTAGCCTGTAGTGAAGCGGAGTGGTTGAAATCTTTCTTAGCAGAAATTCCGGTTGGTACAAAACCAATACCATCTGTGTCTATTCATTGTGATTGCAGAAGTGCAATAGATACTGCTAAGAAAATGTGTTATAATGGGAAGAATAGACACATTCGTTTAAGACATAAAGTCATTAAACGATTATTGAAGAATGGAATTGTGTCCATTAATTTTGTGAGGTCACAAGGAAATTTAGCGGATCCTTTGACAAAAGCCCTAGGACGAAAATTAATAACCGAAACATCTAAGGAAATGGGACTAGTGTCACTTGAAACGAATGGGGATGGGAACCCAACTTGTGTGATTGGAGATCCCATGAAGCAAGTTCATATGGGTAATAACAAATCTCCCATTTAGTTCTGCTAGCCTAACTGAAGTTGTCCATTTCCATGATGTGAGATATTGGCTAGAAACCGCATACTTTGAGAGGATGAGCTAAAAGCTCTTAATGATTATCATAGCCCTTACTTTTAGGGTGGTGTGCAAAAGCGGTACACACTTGATGATGTCACCTATATGAGTGTGAGGTGCGGCCGCCTCCATGAAGCATGACAAAACTTCTAGAGCACTCATGAAAACCAAGCACGCGCATGGCCTTACGGCGCACAACGGCGTAATAACGAGAAATTGTGCGGGGAAAGACACGACCGTTAAGACCCTGATTTACCAATAGTGGCTTGTTGGTTTCAAGAAACTATAGGTTTCACCAAAAGCTCGGTTTATTAAGACTTAATCGTCTCGGTTTGGTTTCAAGTCTACGGACACCAAACTTAAAGTCTTATTCCTTTAATCCAGCAGATACTTGTCTAAACAATTTTTTTTTTCTCAAAATATTCATTTGAAATATGTGGGGGATTGTTGGAAACTTTGATAGTATTTCAATTGAATAACACTTTATTAGTCAATTTTATAAGTTAAATATTTTCATATATTCTATTAATATATTATTAAGTGAATCTGTGAATGTATGTGCATTTTTTTCAAATGCTAACGTCCTGCAATTATACGATCCACTACAGCTCTGAACTTCATAACGGTTTGGCGTGCAGGAGTTTTCAACATCAAAGTAATTTAATATTCCAAACGTTAGCTTAATAAAGAAATTTTAAAGTTTTGTAACTTCGGCCGTTTCTATCTGGATAGCAACGTTCGTGTTACATGTATATATATACATGTGTTCGACTATGCTAGAGAGACCCGAAGGAAAGGAATAATTTTGAGCTAAAAACATCCCCTAATATTTTCACTCTGCTGGATTAATATTATTTTCTACTCTCGTTGTTCTGTTACCGGTTTACACCGAAGAGCTCGTTATATCTTGGAGAAAGGTTTTCGCTAGTCGGAAATACTTTCTTGAGGACAGCGTCTGACGCGTCTCGAGCTAGATTATTTTCTAACGTTATTTTTGCAGGTTTATCCGACCGAATTTCCTCCAACATATCCGGAGCATCTCGAAGCTGCGGCGAGCTGGAATCGAGGTGAAGCTGAGGAGGGACAATGATTGTAAGAGGAGCTTTCTGCAGGTGGAATTCAATCGAGGAGTGATCCGGATGCCGCTGCTGGAGCTGGACGACACGATGTGCGCGTTCTTGCTGAACTGCGTGGCGTTCGAGCAGTGCCACGAGGGGAAAGACAGGCGGATGTCGGAGTACGCGAAGTTCCTGGACTGCCTCATAGACACGCACGAGGACGTGGATCTCTTGTGCGAGGCCAAGATCTTGCGCCACCACTTGGGGACGCAGCGTGAGGTGGCGGAGTTTGTGAGCCGGTTGGGGAAGGCGGCGGCGTGCAGTGCCGACGAAAGCTACTTGAGAGACGTGTACGATGGAGTGAACAAGTACTGCGACAAAAATTTCCACGTTTACTTGGCCGAGGTCAGGGACACCCACTTCCGATCTCCCTGGACCTTCCTGTCTCTGTTAGCTGCCCTTATTCTCCTTGCTCTCACCGTGGGTCAGACCATCTACACCATCTATCCTTATTATCACCCACACGAAGAAAAACATACTCCAGCACCACCACCAAAACCATATCCTTAGTCCTATTTTGAAAATTAAACGTTAGAATTTTCAGGGGTGTTTGAATATGATTTTAAAATTGCTTCTACTCCCTGTCTTAACGGAGCAGAAATAAAAGTTGGAGTGTTTTGAAAAAAGTGCAAAAGTGATTTTCTTGCTCTAATGTACTCCTAGAATCCATTCTCACGGTGGCGCAGACCATCTACACCAAATATCCTTATTATCACCCACACGAAGAGAAACATACTACCGCAGGAGCACCAAAACCATACCCTTGGCTCGTAACCTAAATGGGAACCTTCTCATAAAAGTTTGAGAAGTCCACCTAAATAATTGAGAAGTCCAATTAAGAGGAGAATAGTGTACGAGAACCTTTAAATGGGACGGAGGGAGTAGTATATATATTTGATCAATTTATAGTGAAAGGGAAAATATGATTATTCAGTTGGGTCACAAGTAATTCTTAGAAGGCTAAGACACCCAAATCAATTATTTTAGCCCAAATAAATCTATTTTATACCAAATCCCTAGAGAAGCTATGCCATTCTCGTTCACGATCGCCGTACTCAATGATTTGTCCCAAACGAGGTTCTCATCTCCTTTGATTCAACTCTTCGACTAAAGCTATAGTCCGAGTTTTGTGACAATTGAAATATTGGTATTTCAATTTGCCTTGCTTCCATGCTTCCTTTTTGTTCGTCATAATTGATTCGTCAATTCAGTTTCTATCGAAGATTTCTTCTTCTTTCTCTGTATTGAAATATCTTCCATGTTTAAGGATTTCTAAACTATCCTCCATACTCATCGCAGCAGTAACTTGTTTTTACAAAAAGGGAGCTGATTGCTATTTAAATACGGATTATCTTTTTAGGAGTGTTTTCATCCTTTGTGTTATCACCGGTGGACATAACATAATTTTTAGAGGTTTTTACAACAATATTACTAAAATAAAACTTATTTACATAAATATGACTATTCATTACTACAACGTAGTGTTGTAGTACCTTAAGTTCAGAACTTAAACATGAATTACTATGATTTCATTACTACTCTAGTAACTAATCATATATATTTTTGTAAATCATCTTTATTTTGGTCATATTAATGTAATTATTTCTAATTTTTATTTGTCTACCTACACGATATATAGCTTTTAATAAACGTGGGATTTAATCACTGATCAAATTGGGTGCTGCTACTACTTGTTTTAATTACTTTCGTTACTTAGACTGTACGCATTAGCTAGTTAGTACTCAACCGTACGATTCTTTTCTTTAAACTTTCATTTATGACCCAACAAATTCTTTTTACCAATGTTGATTACTCCATTGATTTTAAATTCTGTTTTAAATTGATGGGCAGCAAAATAGTCATGTTCCATGGTTTTCTAAAATCTGAAGTTTTGTTTTAAGGTTAAGTGGGAGATCACGTTTGTGATTTTAACAGTAGGAAATGAGATTTAAAGTTTTTTAGCTGTTTGGCTCATTAAGACAAGACTTCTAAATTTTGAATATTCTAAATAAAGATTTAAGGGAAGAGCTTATCGGAAGACGTTATCAAGCTGACATACTTCTTTGAGTAGTTCGAATTCTGCTTCTATCATGTAAGTTCACTATCACCTGTGCATGTTTGTTCAATCAAACAAAAGAAAGAAGTCTAGTTGATTTTAATAGATGATTTTAGTCTATTTGCTATTATGTGAACTTGGTGAGTTATTTGCTGAGTTATTTTATTTGCTGTATTGAGTTATGTTTTATCTGTCATAGTCAAGATTTTGTCAGTACTTTTATTTTCAGATTTGATGATGTTTTATCTAAACGTCACTATAAAAAGAACTAATATTAAAATTGAAAGATTAAGTGATATGTACTCGGGAACAAGTTCCCACAGAGTTACAGAGTTATCAGTTATCAGTTTCAGAGAGTCCGATATGTGTAGTGGGTCGCTCCCCTGAGCTGTCGGATTGGCACCTTTGAGTACATATCACAGGCCCACAGAGTAAAATTAGCCACAAAGAGTTATACAGAAAGTTTAATGAGATCTCTTTCAGAAAGTTTTATAGCAAGTTGTTTTTGAGATCTCTTTCAAAAAAGTTTTACAGAGATGTTATGAGAAAAAAATTTCGAGATCTCTCAAGCAGTTTTGAGAAATTATTTTAGAAAATATTTTGCTTTTGAGATGTCCCTCAGAATGTATTTGAGAAGTTATGTGTTAGTTATTTGTCCAGTGCATGCTTATAGCCTAAATTTATCTATTGATAAATTGGCAGACTTCTAGATATTTTTGTGGATCCATAGTGACTTACTAAGCGTAAAACTTATCAGTTTTCTTTCTTCGCATGTACAGATACTAAAGGTAAGGCCAAGACCTAGGAAGATGATGAGGGAGTGGAACGCGTGCCAAGATGAGTTAACGGGAACGACCCTGGGTAGCTTCTAGATAGTTATTATTTTATTTCCGTACACTACAAAAAAACACGCGTTTAGTCACGGACGGTAGTCACGGATTTGGTCCGTGACTAGTTTTGTCACGGACTAGTCACGGACTAGTCACGGATTTAAAAAAAAAGATTAGTCACGGATCGGGCCGTGACTATGACCGTGACTGACGTTAGTCACGGTCTGATCCGTGACTAAAATGGTCCGATAGCTCCGATTCCATTTCCGGCGTGGCTTGTTTTACTCCGGCGACTTAGTCACGGACGTTTCCGTGACTAAGTCCATGACTAAAAAAAAATTAATGCCGTAAATCCTTTCGCAACGGTATTCTGTACGGATAAAGTTAGTCACGGATTTGTCCGTGACTAATACCGTGACTACGTTGAATGACACGTCATTTACACGTCATTAACACATGTTGGACGCGTAATGGACACGGCTTTGCTTAGTGACGGACAAATCCGTGACTAAGTACGTGACTAAATTTTCTATATATGCAAGATCAACTCATTCAACAGAACCACACCAATTCATTCCCAGTATATAGTGTATATACAGCATCTGTTTAACATATCAAAGGATGTAGTCTATCTTCTATCATTTTCCCTGTTTATGCAGATAAGGTATGTTACTCGAATTATTATTTTTATTTAGAATTAATTAGTTGGCTCAATTAAATTATTAAAACTATTAAATTTTTGAGGGTGTTAATTAATTAACAACATATTTAACTATACGCATAGTAATGTCATAAGATTAGTTACATTTTTAGATATATCAAATAATATAATTAAAATTATTTAGTTAAACGTACGTTAGTAATGTGTTAATAAGTGATTTGTGAATTGTTATTGTGTTAAATGTGTATTATTTATTAATTCAAATGACTTTATATACATGCTCAAATTATTGGATTTTGTCATATTATTTAATTTAATAAGTGAATTGTAGATTGTGTATTTCTAATAAGATTAAATGTCATTAATGTAATAATTTAGTGTAGGTTTAAATGTAGGTTTACAAAAATAATTTAATTGAAAATAGTTAGATAAACGTAGGTTTAGCTAAAATTAGTTAAATTAAAAGCGAATGGAATGAACTAGTTAAATTTAGTTAAAATTAACTAAATGAATGAGTTAAATTTAGTTAAACGTAGGTTTAAATTACTTAAATTTTTTACAATATTAGTTAAATTTAAGTATTAGGTAATTACTGATATTTTGTGCATTATTGTTGTGAATTGTGTGCATTTCATTTAATTCAGTGAAAATTAGTTAGTTGATTATTTAGTAAAATAAATTATTTAAAATTAGTTAAACGTAGTATTATTGTTACATTAATTACCTTAGTTTTGAACGTGTATGATTTTTTATTATAATATTCAGGCATAATGTATAAACAAAATAGAAGTTGGATGTATGATAAAGATGCGGTATTGTACGGAATGCAATCAAATTTTCTGGATGGAGTCGGGGAATTTATTGAATTCGCACTTGAACATCCGGCTTATATGAATGGTGATAAAATAAGATGTCCATGTTCAAAGTGTAGAAATCTCAAATTTAAAGACCCACACGAAGTTGGATATGATTTGTACGCGGTCAGTTTTGTTCCCAATTATTATAATTGGACTTCTCACGGCGAACCTTTGGATCCATCTGTTATACCACAAACGGTAGGTTCGTCTCGTTACGTCCCTCCAGAGATGAGTGCGTGGGGAGACCGTGTTGAAATGAGGTGGGACCAACAAATGGTATATGACGCATATGGTGTACCGATGTCTCAGTTCAACCCCCCACAACCATCTAACGACCCCCTTGAAGCCTCGACCTCGTATCAACCAGATGCGGATGAAAATCCGTCATTTTATCAACCTTATGTGGATGAAGGTTTGGCTGAGAGATTTCAGGATGTTCTAAAAGCTGCCGACCAACCTCTGTATGATGATTGTGAGGGATACTCTCAGTTATCCGCCGTTACTGAGTTCATGAACATAAAAGCCGAATACAGTCTCCCTGAAACTTGCATGAATAGAGTCTTGCAGTCAGTAGGAGGGATGCTACCGCGAGATCATACCCTTCCCGATTCATATTACCACATGAAGCAGTTAATGTCTAAGTTGGGGCTACCTTGTGTCGAAATTGATGCGTGCCCGGAAGGATGTATGTTGTTCTGGAAGGAGGATGAGGCACTTGAGTTCTGCAAGTTCTGTGGTGGAGACAGATACAAACCTGTTCCTCAAGGTAAAAAGAAACCACGACAACGGTCGGCATTGTCTAAACTGTATTACCTCCCAATAGCTCTTCGACTGCAGAGGATGTACGCTTCGACTGGTACTGCGAAACACATGACAAGACATGTTGAGCACGAAACCAATGAGGGTATGATGGCTCACCCTTCGGACTGTGAAGCCTGGAGTCATTTTGACCGCTGTCATCCTCAGGATATTTGATTCCAACTATGTGTATGTGGCATATAGCTTTACGGAAAAGTATAATCACATGGATGTATAAAAACGAAGAGGGATGCATTGATTCCAACTATATGATTATAACATATATCATTACGGAAAAATATTGCATCTATCTCTAAAAAAATGGATGATACGACTTAATCTAGAAAAAATCAATGATGTTCATCACAATAGTAAACATGATGTAATAAATCATATGCATAAGGTTCTACAATGATTTTGAGTAAAGCAAATACCTCAAAAGAGATCTGAGAATCGGTGAGTCGCAGGCTAGGAGGGGGTGTCACGCCCCAGACCGCGTCTGTGCCACGTGGACAACCGTCGTACAACCCAATAAGAATAACCACAGTCCATCCTTACCGAATTGCACAAGACGTCCGATAGATACATATGCCAAAACCGATTAGTAAACATACATAACAACATCAACATACAATTAAACACATAGCGGAATATAAGTGTTTAATAAGAACCCACACAAGGGTAAAACAAGAGCTCGCAGGCTCTATTAATTTATAAGTCAAAATAGTTCCATGAGCATTATTTAATTATTTAAAAATAGAACGAGAGGAAGCACGAACCACGTCTTCTCTCCATTGATCTCCCGAGCAACGGGTGCAGGAAGTAAGCTCTAGCTTCAACCTGAAAGGGTGGTTCCCCCGAGGGATCAGTACTACAGAAAAGTACTGGTGAGGGCAAACTGTATGTAATGTAACTAACGTTTCTCACGTGAGACCCTCAAAATAGGGTGATAGTATAATTATGGGCATAACTCTTAGCTACCCCTTTTCAAAACAAAATGTATACATATATACATATGAGTAAAATATCTGGCCCGTGGGCCCTTTGTCTTTCAAATCATTTAGGCGTAACAGCCTCATTAAATTCATCCTTCCCATGCCTTACCCTCGAGTGGAGTCACCCGCGGGCTAACTCACTCGATACTAAAATATAATTACTGTGGGGCCCTTCGGACTCCCATATCACAGACATGGTTTAAATCAATCCCTAGACCAAGGAAAATATTATATCGGGAACTCGTTCCCGATCAAGCACGTTTAATCATTTAAAATCATTACTTCGAGGTTCACCTACCTCGAGGACTATCCGTCCTTGCTATCATAGTTTTCATTTCCGGGTTAACCCCGCCTCAAGGAGTACGCATACACCCTCATCCTATGTGTAATTTACTGGAGGTTAACACACCTCAAGGACTACACAGGCCCTTGTTACCTATATGCACTTTGATGGAGGTTAACACACCTCAAGGACTGCATTTGCCCTTGTTAACTATATGCAATTTGATGGAGGTTAAACACACCTCAAGGACTGCACTTGCCCTTGTTACCTATATGCAATTTGATGGAGGTTAAACACACCTCAAGGACTGCATTTGCCCTTGTTACCTATATGCAATTTGATGGAGGTTGAACACACCTCAAGGACTGCATTTGCCCTTGTTACCTATATGCAATTTGATGGAGGTTGAACACACCTCAAGGACTGCATTTGCCCTTGTTACCTATATGCAATTTGATGGAGGTTAAACACACCTCAAGGACTGCATTTGCCCTTGTTAACGTTTGAGTGTAGAGGACTCCTCCTGGTCCTACAGAGTATTATATAACCTTACTTGGTCCCGGGTATTCACCCGCCATTTATAATCTACCACGTGCCTCGCCCGGTCGTGGTCTATAATTTCTTTACTAACGACTAGTCCAAGTCTTAGCGTTTAAACCGTATTCCAAGCCTTATCATTTTAAACATCATATTTCATGCAATTCCATGCAAAATATTCATATATAGGATGACCAGAATTAATCCCACGTCGAACCGGGTCCGATTTGGGTTTTTAGCAAAAATCAGTCCTGAAAGCCGAGACATAACCGGCGCCGGTTTTACCCATAACCGGCGCCGGTTTACTGATTTTTTTGTAGTAAACCGAACCATAACCGGCGCCGGTTTTGCCTATAACCGGCGCCGGTTATCCCTTGGGCAACCGGTCAACATTTTGGTCAACGCCCGTTTGACCATCCAAACGGGGTCCGATTTTCACGAAATTTTATACACTTATGCAACAAGTCATTCCTAGTCCAAAAATATTATTTTGGACGTCCAAATCATCACACATAATTTATAATCATTTTCTGTCCAAATTAAAGCATATTAAATACACTTATTAATACTATTAATAAGTAAATCTTTCCTTAATACATTTTTAGATGTATTTAATATTTCATGGAATATCATTCTGTTTTATTTGAGTAATCTCATGCCCAAGCCCAAATCATGGCTCATGATCCTTTCTTACAACCTTTTATTCATACCATTAATTGATTAATCATTAATTATGCCATATTTCCATAATCCATAATTAATATGACTAATCACATATCACATATCTTTTTATATTTCTTTACTAGATAACTCTAGTTAATCACATACACGGTTCAAGTATACCTTCTTATTCATTTAAGAAAAATATACTCATGATTAATTAATAAATTAATCTATTTTTTTATTTATCATATAATACTTCCATAATCCATATTTAATATGGATAATCACAACTTTACAACCCTTTTATATTCACTTACTAGATTATTCGAACTTATCTCATACATGGTTCAAGTATATCCTCTTATGCATTAAGAAATATATACTACGTACTAATGATTAATTAATAAATTAATCTATTTTTTTCATTAGTCATATACACCATGACTAATCATGCATTTTAATCCATTTCATCATTTCTCAAATCATGGTTATGATTTTATTTAGGTAATCCCACGTTTGAACCAAGAGTTACAAGACACGTAGTCGTCCACTCACCTCGAAATGACGCTAGCAAGCTTTTATCCTCTTTGTTTGAACTCCGGTGACTTTTGGAATTTTCCGGCGAAACTCCGGCGGCTCCGGCGACTTCCCGGCCACTCCTAGATTCCTCGAGAAGTCTAGAATACCTTGGTAAAATTCCTAACAAGTTTTCACAACCAAAAGTAGTATAAATGTCAAAACCTTCCGAGAAGGTGTTTCCCGGTGAACCGGTCTTACTCCGGCCATAACTCCGTTCATGGTTAAACTTAACCTTCCAAACCCTCATTCAACACCTCTAGAAGTGTATCATATGATTTATAAAATCATATGAGATTAAATGAAGGAAGAAAAATACTAATGAAGTCATTACCTTAATTTTTTCTAAGTTTTTCTTTTCTTTCCCAAGCCTTTCTTCTTCCTTGAGTCTTCTTCAACCTTGAGCTCGGTTTTTTCTTGGCTATGGAGGTGTGTTTGCAGATGTTCTTCTCCTCTTGATGGTGCTGGCCGAGTGGGTGATTGGGGGGAAGAGAGATTGATGCATTTTGGCTCATACCACCAATAATAATAAAGGAAAAGGGTCCACATATGTCTCTCATTCATGCTTATCACTTCAAGTCAACTTCTCATCTCCTTCCTACCATTGTACAGCCATCCTTTTGTCTACTTTGCTGAATAATTTCGTAGGGTGGCCCCCACCCATGTGGGAGGTCATCCCTTTATGTCCCAAAGTGTACATTCGGTCCCGAAAGTTGTATTTTCTGGACTGTTTTAATTATATTTTATTTAATCGGGTCAAATAAAATATATATCATTCTTCCAATTAATATTGGCTTCTAAAATGATTATATATTACCCAACTTTAATTTAGTGGTCCCCAGAATTTATTTCGGGCTGTTATCTGATTAATTACCTATACTGGTAATGGGACCTCGTTTGTTCGAAAGACCAACTTTATGGCTCAACATTTATTTACAACCTCATATAAATATTATCTAGACCAAGATGAATATAATATGTGGTCCGTAAATATCGGATGGTCCCCGCCCATGTGTGGGCCCAACGTGCCTTTTACCGTTCAAGTAGCGGTAAAAATGAGAATAAGTTACTTTAAAAATTCATTCATCATTCCTAATGACTAAATATGTGTTTTCATATTTTGTGACACTTTAATAAAATGTCACACTTATTTTTAAGTGGTCCCAACTGTATAAGCAGATAAAATCTTATCTGTTTATTCTTATACAAAAATATCTTCAAGGTAGGGTCCTCCAAAAGTACCCACCTCTAACATGTCAAGTTGCTCATTATTATCCACCATCCCATGTTTTGGGTTCTTAAAATATTTATATTCCTTCTTATTAATTCGTAGCCTTCCGAATTATTATCAGTCCGATAATTAATGATTCACAATTATCGGATAGTGACCCCGGCCCGCTTGGCCATCTAGTTGTCATTCCTTATATCACTGGGGTCCATGACCCATCCCTACTATCATAATAGTATCATTTTGGAAAACAATAATATTTTATAAACTTGAAATACCACGTGTGGTCCCACGTCTAAATTAATAACCCTTTATTAATTTAGGACAAAATTTTACTTTCTCATTTATCGAGACTACTCTTAGTCTTGATTTACCTTCTTTAACCAAGTACTTTACGAAAAAAAATTTATCTGGGTAAAATTCGGGTCCGGTGTTACAAGTTCACCCCACCTTACAGGAATTTCGTCCCCGAAATTAACGTCTGAACCTTGAGAAACATTTCTCCCTTCATTATCTGAAGCTAACAATTTTGAAAATAAAAATATTTATGGAAATTAAGGTTTAATTTAATAATACCTTGTGCCATAGTCGGGCCTAACAAATGGCTTCCGCCATTGCCGGCCTTCACGAGCGAGTTCGCCATTGACTTGTAGAAGGTACCATGTTTGAGGCAACCCTAGTTGGGTTTTCAACCCCCGTGACCCCTCCTCTAGCTCCTGATGTTCCTTCACGCGTACGTTGAGGACAAAGGACCTTGATGTGGCCTGTTTCTCCACAAAAGTAGCATCTAGATGGCTCTCGACATCTACCGTAGTGCCTTCGCCTACAATTCTCGCATTTGGGTGCCCCCGTGCCTCGAGTGCTTGAGCTTTGATTTACCAAGTCCTGGCTCTCACTGAAAAACGGAACTGACTTGTTAGAGTTCCCCTTGCTCTGAAGTTCATACTTCCCCTCTCGTCGTGGAGGGTGAACGATCGCCTGATCTCTTTCTTGTGCTTCCTTTGCATCCCTTGCTTGCCTTTCCTTCCAAAGCTCCTCCCCCTGGAGACCCTGGGCTACTACTTCACTAAAAGTCATGTTGAATTGGTAGGTCGCTCTTTCGCGTATTTCCAAATTGAGTGCATTCCAAAAATGGTTTGCCATTCGGTTCTCATTTGCGGCATACTCAGGCAAAAACCTTGCCAGATGTCGGAATCTTTGTTCCAGTTGCTTCACCGTAAACTCATTTCCCTGTTTGAGATCGATATATTCCCTCCTCTTTCGATTTACTTCGAAAGAGGTGTAAAACTGCTCATAGAATGCTTGCTCGAAGTTGTCCCACGTGACAACCCCGTCAAACTTACCCTTGGTGCCTTCCCACCAAGTAGAAGCTAAACCCTCCAATAATCTAGTAGCTACCCTTAACTTTCGTTCAGGGACCACTTGCATGTCATCAGCTGCATCATTTAACCTTTTTATCCACTCGGCTGCTTCCGATATGTCCCCCGTTCCATCAAATGGCTTGCACCCCAAGGCTCTAGCCTCTTTGAGGTACTTCGAGATCTTAAAGAATGGTCCTTCGCCATCAGAATCTCTGACTGTCCTAACCTGTGCTCTATGAGCACCCTGACCCCTCATGAGAGAGGTCTCGCCTCTGACATGTCCCTTTTGAGATCCCTGTCGTTGTCTTCCCCTTTCACGTTGGTACCATCGGTACATCTCGCTAACATGTTCGGGAGGAATACTTTGTATATCCTCTCCACTGTTTTCCTGAAAAGAAGTTTCATCTGACTCGCTTTCAGGGTGATAAGTTGAGTCATCATCCGAGTTCCACGACTCGAATTCAGTCACGTTGTGATCAGCCATCGTGGCTCGTGTTCGTGGGCCTTGATTGCCCATACCTCGCCTTTTACGCGACCTTGATATCCCCCGATTGGCTTGCCCGGCTATCCCCGGTGCGCGCCCTCTCGGATTTCCTCGAACCGCCCTATCACTACCACCCATTCCTGAAAGAATATGTTGGAATGAGTCTTTAGACTCGTTTGAATGTCAATTGACAGAAACGTACTCAAGACACAACTTGGCTCAAGTCTCTGCCATACCAATTGTTAAGGGGCCCATCTTAACAACCAGAGACCTTGCAACTCGATAACCAAATGCTCTTAAAGTACAAAACGTAACTTATGCTCATGGTTTTTCATTGAAAACTGTTTTGATAGAAACTCTGTTGAGAGGTTGACTATATAGTTTAGAAATCGTTTGGCTCTGATACCACTTAATTGTCACGCCCCAGACCGCGTCTGTGCCACGTGGACAACCGTCGTACAACCCAATAAGAATAACCACAGTCCATCCTTACCGAATTGCACAAGACGTCCGATAGATACATATGCCAAAACCGATTAGTAAACATACATAACAACATCAACATACAATTAAACACATAGCGGAATATAAGTGTTTAATAAGAACCCACACAAGGGTAAAACAAGAGCTCGCAGGCTCTATTAATTTATAAGTCAAAATAGTTCCATGAGCATTATTTAATTATTTAAAAATAGAACGAGAGGAAGCACGAACCACGTCTTCTCTCCATTGATCTCCCGAGCAACGGGTGCAGGAAGTAAGCTCTAGCTTCAACCTGAAAGGGTGGTTCCCCCGAGGGATCAGTACTACAGAAAAGTACTGGTGAGGGCAAACTGTATGTAATGTAACTAACGTTTCTCACGTGAGACCCTCAAAATAGGGTGATAGTATAATTATGGGCATAACTCTTAGCTACCCCTTTTCAAAACAAAATGTATACATATATACATATGAGTAAAATATCTGGCCCGTGGGCCCTTTGTCTTTCAAATCATTTAGGCGTAACAGCCTCATTAAATTCATCCTTCCCATGCCTTACCCTCGAGTGGAGTCACCCGCGGGCTAACTCACTCGATACTAAAATATAATTACTGTGGGGCCCTTCGGACTCCCATATCACAGACATGGTTTAAATCAATCCCTAGACCAAGGAAAATATTATATCGGGAACTCGTTCCCGATCAAGCACGTTTAATCATTTAAAATCATTACTTCGAGGTTCACCTACCTCGAGGACTATCCGTCCTTGCTATCATAGTTTTCATTTCCGGGTTAACCCCGCCTCAAGGAGTACGCATACACCCTCATCCTATGTGTAATTTACTGGAGGTTAACACACCTCAAGGACTACACAGGCCCTTGTTACCTATATGCACTTTGATGGAGGTTAACACACCTCAAGGACTGCATTTGCCCTTGTTAACTATATGCAATTTGATGGAGGTTAAACACACCTCAAGGACTGCACTTGCCCTTGTTACCTATATGCAATTTGATGGAGGTTAAACACACCTCAAGGACTGCATTTGCCCTTGTTACCTATATGCAATTTGATGGAGGTTGAACACACCTCAAGGACTGCATTTGCCCTTGTTACCTATATGCAATTTGATGGAGGTTGAACACACCTCAAGGACTGCATTTGCCCTTGTTACCTATATGCAATTTGATGGAGGTTAAACACACCTCAAGGACTGCATTTGCCCTTGTTAACGTTTGAGTGTAGAGGACTCCTCCTGGTCCTACAGAGTATTATATAACCTTACTTGGTCCCGGGTATTCACCCGCCATTTATAATCTACCACGTGCCTCGCCCGGTCGTGGTCTATAATTTCTTTACTAACGACTAGTCCAAGTCTTAGCGTTTAAACCGTATTCCAAGCCTTATCATTTTAAACATCATATTTCATGCAATTCCATGCAAAATATTCATATATAGGATGACCAGAATTAATCCCACGTCGAACCGGGTCCGATTTGGGTTTTTAGCAAAAATCAGTCCTGAAAGCCGAGACATAACCGGCGCCGGTTTTACCCATAACCGGCGCCGGTTTACTGATTTTTTTGTAGTAAACCGAACCATAACCGGCGCCGGTTTTGCCTATAACCGGCGCCGGTTATCCCTTGGGCAACCGGTCAACATTTTGGTCAACGCCCGTTTGACCATCCAAACGGGGTCCGATTTTCACGAAATTTTATACACTTATGCAACAAGTCATTCCTAGTCCAAAAATATTATTTTGGACGTCCAAATCATCACACATAATTTATAATCATTTTCTGTCCAAATTAAAGCATATTAAATACACTTATTAATACTATTAATAAGTAAATCTTTCCTTAATACATTCTTAGATGTATTTAATATTTCATGGAATATCATTCTGTTTTATTTGAGTAATCTCATGCCCAAGCCCAAATCATGGCTCATGATCCTTTCTTACAACCTTTTATTCATACCATTAATTGATTAATCATTAATTATGCCATATTTCCATAATCCATAATTAATATGACTAATCACATATCACATATCTTTTTATATTTCTTTACTAGATAACTCTAGTTAATCACATACACGGTTCAAGTATACCTTCTTATTCATTTAAGAAAAATATACTCATGATTAATTAATAAATTAATCTATTTTTTTATTTATCATATAATACTTCCATAATCCATATTTAATATGGATAATCACAACTTTACAACCCTTTTATATTCACTTACTAGATTATTCGAACTTATCTCATACATGGTTCAAGTATATCCTCTTATGCATTAAGAAATATATACTACGTACTAATGATTAATTAATAAATTAATCTATTTTTTTCATTAGTCATATACACCATGACTAATCATGCATTTTAATCCATTTCATCATTTCTCAAATCATGGTTATGATTTTATTTAGGTAATCCCACGTTTGAACCAAGAGTTACAAGACACGTAGTCGTCCACTCACCTCGAAATGACGCTAGCAAGCTTTTATCCTCTTTGTTTGAACTCCGGTGACTTTTGGAATTTTCCGGCGAAACTCCGGCGGCTCCGGCGACTTCCCGGCCACTCCTAGATTCCTCGAGAAGTCTAGAATACCTTGGTAAAATTCCTAACAAGTTTTCACAACCAAAAGTAGTATAAATGTCAAAACCTTCCGAGAAGGTGTTTCCCGGTGAACCGGTCTTACTCCGGCCATAACTCCGTTCATGGTTAAACTTAACCTTCCAAACCCTCATTCAACACCTCTAGAAGTGTATCATATGATTTATAAAATCATATGAGATTAAATGAAGGAAGAAAAATACTAATGAAGTCATTACCTTAATTTTTTCTAAGTTTTTCTTTTCTTTCCCAAGCCTTTCTTCTTCCTTGAGTCTTCTTCAACCTTGAGCTCGGTTTTTTCTTGGCTATGGAGGTGTGTTTGCAGATGTTCTTCTCCTCTTGATGGTGCTGGCCGAGTGGGTGATTGGGGGGAAGAGAGATTGATGCATTTTGGCTCATACCACCAATAATAATAAAGGAAAAGGGTCCACATATGTCTCTCATTCATGCTTATCACTTCAAGTCAACTTCTCATCTCCTTCCTACCATTGTACAGCCATCCTTTTGTCTACTTTGCTGAATAATTTCGTAGGGTGGCCCCCACCCATGTGGGAGGTCATCCCTTTATGTCCCAAAGTGTACATTCGGTCCCGAAAGTTGTATTTTCTGGACTGTTTTAATTATATTTTATTTAATCGGGTCAAATAAAATATATATCATTCTTCCAATTAATATTGGCTTCTAAAATGATTATATATTACCCAACTTTAATTTAGTGGTCCCCAGAATTTATTTCGGGCTGTTATCTGATTAATTACCTATACTGGTAATGGGACCTCGTTTGTTCGAAAGACCAACTTTATGGCTCAACATTTATTTACAACCTCATATAAATATTATCTAGACCAAGATGAATATAATATGTGGTCCGTAAATATCGGATGGTCCCCGCCCATGTGTGGGCCCAACGTGCCTTTTACCGTTCAAGTAGCGGTAAAAATGAGAATAAGTTACTTTAAAAATTCATTCATCATTCCTAATGACTAAATATGTGTTTTCATATTTTGTGACACTTTAATAAAATGTCACACTTATTTTTAAGTGGTCCCAACTGTATAAGCAGATAAAATCTTATCTGTTTATTCTTATACAAAAATATCTTCAAGGTAGGGTCCTCCAAAAGTACCCACCTCTAACATGTCAAGTTGCTCATTATTATCCACCATCCCATGTTTTGGGTTCTTAAAATATTTATATTCCTTCTTATTAATTCGTAGCCTTCCGAATTATTATCAGTCCGATAATTAATGATTCACAATTATCGGATAGTGACCCCGGCCCGCTTGGCCATCTAGTTGTCATTCCTTATATCACTGGGGTCCATGACCCATCCCTACTATCATAATAGTATCATTTTGGAAAACAATAATATTTTATAAACTTGAAATACCACGTGTGGTCCCACGTCTAAATTAATAACCCTTTATTAATTTAGGACAAAATTTTACTTTCTCATTTATCGAGACTACTCTTAGTCTTGATTTACCTTCTTTAACCAAGTACTTTACGAAAAAAAATTTATCTGGGTAAAATTCGGGTCCGGTGTTACAGGGGGGGGGGGGGAGGCCGCGGCTAGACCGTTGGCGGCGCGGTTGGACTGCTGGAGGCGCGGCTGCGGATTGAGTGTAGGGAGAATGGGAGAAAAAATAGGTTTAGTGTTACGTGCTGATAACGTGTTGTAGGGAAGTGAGAGTAGTTTTCATTCCATTAGTAAGCCCCCTTTAAATAGGGGTGATTAGGGTTTTACAAGGAGTGGGCCAATGGGCCAATTAGCTCAATACATATAATCCCTAGGTACACTTTCTATCTATAACGAATGCACATTAAAGTAATTTCCTTCAACAAAGAGTATATTTGTCCATAGAAATAATTTGATTATTTATTAATTACGAATTTTAATTAAATAATAAAAATTTAGGTAATATTTTGAGAAAAAAACTAGTTTGGTCTTAGATTGGGAAAGTGAAAGTGTTTTAATCATACAGGAGATAATTATATCTTTAAACAGTTACAAAAACTCCACCGTATCAAATACGAGTATAACTGTATGAGCCATTGCAATATTAGCCGGGTAGATTCTATGGTACCCAAAAGGTACAATACCTTTGTCCATTTGGACCAATCAAAATGTTGCAGTTGAATTATTTAAATGTAAATTAAAAATGATTTAATGATTTGGACCAATCATTTGAGTGGTAGGTACGATACCCCATTTTTTAAATGAGTAACAGAGTTGTCACCTATTAGCCGCTGACTAGAAATACTCTATATAAAAAAAAGATTAGAAATATGTTTTTTTTTATAGAAATACTCCGTATAAAATTATCACTCCTCCAGTCCTCCATACTGGCACTTAAAATTAGCTTTTCATGAACTCCGTATTTCTCATGACCATCCCGGCCCATATAGCTTGTTGGCCAGCAAGCAAATTTTTCAAGTACATTGGAGAGGCCCTAGCGATGAAATAATTGAGCTAAGAAAAGTGAAGTATTCAATCGATCACAAACAAAATGTAAGGTTAATCCAGCTCAAAAGTTACGTTGAAACAGCTAAGGGAGTGTACTATGTACTACTTATATCATAATTTCTGAAACTATTTCGCATAACAAGGACAGAGTACTGAGTACGATCATGATGTTACCCCAGGCTAGGAACCACCTCTATGTTAATTACTGCTCCGGATCCATTCAAAAATTGTTTGGAGTTTGAGGTATTACCCACAATCTGAATCAAACATGGGTGGGAGAATTTCCACAGAAGAGCTGCCCCGCGATGAGGAGGCTGAAGAAAACACAAGCAGTGTGCAAGTGGATGAACTCATCCAATCGATTAAGAGTCAGCTGCTGGTATTGCCGAAATTGACCACCGAATCGGCCAGTTGCAGCATTTTCCGGGCACCCCAGGTCTTCACCGATTCCGATGTCAACGACAGGTCGTTTCAACCTCGCACGGTGCCAGTGGATATAGAAGAAACCATCCAACCCATTCAAGCGGAAGTCGATGCAGACAAACTCATGCAATTGATGCAAAGTAAGCTGCCGGAATCGGCTAAAGACATCAGCAAATCCGCCGGCAGAGACAATTGCTGCATTTTCCGGGTACCCCAGGGTTTCACCGATTCCCAAGTCAACTGCGGGTCGTATCATCCCCGCAGGGTCTCAATCGGTCCATACCACCGTGGGAAGCCGCATCTGAAGGCGATTGAGGAGCACAAGTGGAGGTTCTTGGCAAGAGTGATAAAGAGGACGAGCGAGGGAAAAGGCGTGGGTTTGAAGGACTACGTGGAAGTTGTCAAAAGATTGGAAGCAGACGCCAGAGAATCGTATTCTGAGGATACAAGTATAACTAATCTGAAAGGCTATGAGTTTGTAGAGATGTTGGTTCTTGATGGCTGCTTTGTGATTGAAATGTTTCGGGCATTCAGCAATGTGGTTCCCTTCGAGAAAGACGATCCGTTTTCGTCAATGCAATTTCTCCGTGACGACTTTCTCTGCCTCGAGAACCAAATACCCTATATCGTGCTCCAGACATTGTTCACACTTACTGAAATGGAGAGCGATAGGTTGCCCAGCGGGAGCTACCCTACTCTGTTTGTCACGGCCCTCTACTTCTTCAGAATTTCTGATGACTTCAGAAGAGACCCGGAGGTGATGGGTGAAGTGCTACATCTTCTTGATTTAGTCCGGAAAACTTATTTTCCCGACAGGCAGAGGGTACCGGGATCTGAGTCTGGCACCAAGGTAACCATAACCAACATCTAGTGTCGTCTTTTAGAAATAGGGCAGTTGGTCAATATATTTTTATGCATTATCTAAATGAATATTAATATAAACATAACTTCTTAAATTATGCATTTTTGAAAAATAAGACTACAATGAATATTATATAAGCCATGAAATAAATATTCAATGAATATAAAAGAAAATTAATTCACACCGTACCACTCATTACAATTTGTTACCTATTAATTTTTATTATTATATTAATTTTAACGTTAAATAATATTCTAAAAAGGTGTGTGCAATAAGTGAATGGAATAAAGTTTCAGTTAATACAATAAATATTAAAATTAACAAATATTAGTTAAATAAGAAATTGCTAATCATTAGTTAAATTAGTGCTATCATATAAGAGAGAAAATTGTTCTCGCTCAATTGTTAGCCGACCTATCTTTTTACACCTAAAAAACACTACATATATATGAAAGAAAATTCTCTCACTCAATTGTTCGCGAGTTTATCTTATACCTAAAATTATTGCACATGAGAGAGAATATTATGTCGTTTAATTGTTAGCAAGTTTATCTTCTAATATCTAAAAGCACTCCATATGAGAGAAATAACTATTCCACTCAATTCTCATATTCAATTGTTAGCAAACTTACATTTTAATACCTAAAAGCACTACATAGGATAGATAAATTTTATTCAATACTTATGAGTGAGAAAATTATTCCACTCAATTGTTATGCGGTTTACCTAATACCTAAGGACATTACATATGAGAGAAAAAATTCTTTCGCTCAATTTTTAGTCGGCTTATCTTATACTTACAAAACTACATATGAGAGAGATAATTTTCCTATTCTATTGTTAACAAACTTATCTTCTAATCTCCTAATAATACCTAAAAACACTACAGAGAGAGAAAATTTGTCTGGTCAATTGTTAGCCTGCTTTTTCTTAAACATAAAAGCATACGTATGAGAAAGATAATTCTACCGCTTAATTGTTAGCCGGTTTACCTTTGTTTGATACCCCAGGGGCGTCGGGGTAGGGCGTTTGGGGTAAACTGGGATCAATCTCACCATTTCCTCAAGCCGGTTTGTCTTATATTTAAAAGAACTACATATATGAGATCCCGCTTAATTGTTAGCAAATTAATCTTCTAACACCTAAAAGAACCACATATGAGAGAGAAAATTGTTCTGTTCAATTATTAGCAAAATTATCTCCTAATACCTAAAAGCACTCCACATGAGAGAAAATTATCTATCTTAATTTTTAGCAAGTTTATATTTCGTATGACACAATTAAAAATTCACATTCATATGAGACACACACATAAACTTGAATAACTATTTAAAAAAATGTAATTTGTGTTCGAATTTGAACCTCGCTAAACTTGGATCGTTAAATTGGATTCAAAATCAAGCTCGAACTCGGGTAGTTAAAAAAAGTTATGTTCCGTAACGACCGTACTATAAGCTAAATCTTGTGTGTGCAACAATAGATTCTTTTGTCTGCAACAATTAATAAATGTAATTTTTTATTTGCAATATTTAATGAGTAATCAATTGATTTAAGTGTAATAAGAATTTAGATTGAGAATATTTTTAGTTTTTTATATTAAAAGGGGCCTCAAATTTGTATTTTGAACAGAAGCCTCCAAATTCATCAGACGGGCCTGCCAACATCCAGTGCATCTCGAAGCTGCGCAGAGCAGGAATCAAGCTGAAGGCGGACTATAATATGAGAGGCACCCTGTGGGTGAGATTCAAGCGGGGAGTGATCTGGATGCCGGAGCTGAAAGACACGATGCGCGCGTTCTTGCTGAATTGTGTGGCGTTCGAGCAGAGCCACATGGTGAAAGACAAGCTGGTGTCGGCGTACGTTGTGTTTCTGGACAGTCTCATAGACACAACGGAAGACGTGGATATTCTGTGTGAGGCCAAGGTATTGAACATTTATTTAGCAACGCAACGTGAGGTGGCCACCTTTGTGGACAACCTCGGGAAGGCAGCGGCGGTCGATTTTGATATCAGAAAAAGCTACTTGAAAGAGGTGTATGCCGACATTAACAAACACTTACACAATTCTTGTAACATTTATTTGGCGGAGGTCAAGGCCAAATACTTCAGCTCCCCTTGGACCGCCATGTCTCTCTTCGCTGCCTTTTATCTCCTCGTTCTCGCCACCGCCCAGACCGTTTTCGGCATTTTGGAGTATAAAAAAGGTTAGAGCAAATTCCTAGAAATTTATTTGGTCTTTGGGTATTGCTGGGTATTTATTTGTGCCGGTGGCACAAAAATAAAGGTGCGTTCGGCAATTGACTATTGATTGTTAGCGATTGTCTAATTGTGTTGTCTGATTGATTGATGATATGAGTTTCTCTTGATTGTTTCAATTAGTTCATATGATTAGCAATTCGTTAAAATGTGTTTGATTAAATAACTGTTTACAATCACTTGATAATTTGTTAAATGACTGTTAAGAACATCGATTATTGCTGATCACATGAAGCACTAGGAGGATGAATTGTATGTCGTGGTTACATCCTAAACAACTTGTCTGAAGGTTCTATGATTTATATACACCTATGAAGTCTGACAAGGAAATAATAATTTGTACAATTTGTATACAACCCATGTACACTAAAAATTTTCCAAAAAATAATAATTTGCTTAATATGGCTTATTTTGTCTTATTAAAAGAATAAATTAATTAAAACATCGGAAATTACCCTAAATAGGAGTAAATATGTTTTGGATTTTGGAATTTCAAAATAAGTCTGCTATATACTCCATCCGTCCCATAAAATTCATCTCACTTTCCTTTTTAGGACGTCCCAAAAAATTCTTCTCACTTTCATTTTTGGGACAATTTGTGGTTCACATTTATTTCACCTTTTTCTTACACAACCATACACTTCTACTTTATTCTAATTTCTTAATCTCCGTTCCTAGTCAAAGTGGGAAGAATTTTCTAGGACAGAGGGAGCAGGGATGGATCCAGGATTTAGAGTCAAGGGGGGCGAAATTTTTTCGTTCGTGTAGGGGGCAAAAAAAATTCGCTAGTGTAGCGGGGAATTTTTTTTCGCTAGTATAGCAAGATAGAATTTTTTTCACTATTGTAGGGCTGCGTGGCTAATTTTTTTTCAAAAAAAAAATCATTAGTATATACACGATAACATTTAAATCTATTACATTTTATGTTTAGAGAATGACAAAAATAATTTTAATTTTGTAACCGTGAATGCTCTAGAAAAAAGTACTGATACATTAAAGCATAAGAAATTGCAAATCAAAGGAAATTTATTTGAAAATAGAAAAGGATATATAACATTTTGTCGAATTATTTGAAGTTAAAAAATTTGAAAGGTAATTAAACATCATTCGATGCCTTTTAAATAACTTATGTCTTGTTTAACCACATGAATCTTATCAGAATAAAGAAATGGTTTTTGAATTGTAGTTTTTGTCTATCAATGAGGGTGTTCATGGGTCACGAGAAGTTTTTTAGTATTACAATAGTATGTATGAGATTATTATCTTTAGAATAATATTATATATAGTATTGTTAATTCATATATATGGTACATATTATATTTGTATTAATGCTACAATACGTTAAAGTTTATTATTTATACAATAAATTGCTTTTAGAAAGTAAGAAATAAATGAATTGTATAATTTAATGTCAAAAAGCATTTATATTTTGAATTCATTTCACATGATTTAAAACTGTTTAACTGGTGTGTCTGATATTTAATATCATTTGTTCTTTTACAAAATTTAAAACTAATTATCTATAAAGATAATCAAATATTACAAAACCTAGGAATTTTTATATAATAGGTACCCTAAGTCTTAATCTATCTAATTTATTTTAGATCTTATTTCTTTTAAATCTCCAATAAAGTATAACACTATGTAAGATTATATATTAATTGTGAAAACTAAAAGTCAAGGGGGGCAAAAACATATATATCTAATTAAAGAATGAAAATTTTATGAAAATACTACATATATAGTAGAAAATTTTGAAAGTCCAAGGGGGGCGTCGCCCCCCGCGCCCCCCCCCTAAATCCGTCCCTTAGAGGGAGTATGTTTTACTTCTCGAAATAAGAGTTATGATTGAAAAATACTGTCACATTGAAAAATATTGTCTTGAATGATACTCGTAGTAAGCACTGCCATTTTCAATGTTTTGTATTGCAACTCTTTGGTAGTAATGACTAGAAGATGACAATAAATACTGTCATGTTACTCTTGTTTCTCAAAGAAAAATACACAGTGATTGAGTGAATGAGTCCAGAAGGGGAGCAAGAATACTTGGCCAGTTTAGGCCAGTTTAGGCTGATACAAACAATTTTTATATAGAAAAAAATTTCGAACAATTTTTTACATTAATTTTTTATTTATTTATTTGGATTGAGCCGGGTCCACCAATGAATAAGTCTCATGTTGCAAATAATACGATGATAGTCATATTTATGACCAACATAACTTTGACATTGTGCTACTCTTATTTAGGAAACTTTTGCAAAAAATTAACTATATGTCACATGGGCTTTTCTCTCTCTTAAATTTAACCAATGACAACCTGCACATATGGCTTGTTGGCCCAGCTAGCGAATCCTAAGGATGTTTTTACTTGGATTGTAATTTGTCACAGATTAGACCAGACCAGTTCAGACCAGTTCAGACCAGATCAGACCAGACCAGACATGGATAGTTATAAAATACAAAGAAATCAGACCTTACCAGACTAGACCAAACCAGTTCAGACCAGATCAGATCAGACCAGACCAGACCAGCAAATTACAGTCCAAGCAAAAACATCATGAAATCAAATACTCCGTAATTGAGTTCAGATCTAAATATTAATTCAATGACGACAAAATGCAAAAAATGTTGTAGGGAGAATGAATCGTATATTTTCATTACCAAACACCCCTATTAATAGGGAGATATTAGGGTTTACAGAGACGGGCCAATGGGCCCATAATACATAGTTTACATAGAATGATCCTAATACATATTCTATTTACACGATAGCACACTACATAGAATTTCCTTCAACACTCCCCCTTGTGCTGAGTTGTAGATAGAATTTGGTATCAGTCTTGTTGCTTCATCAAAACGCTGTCAAGTAACAAAAACCCTGTGGGAAAAAATAATCTTGACTAGAGAAAAGAGTATAACATCACGATAGGCTTCTTCCATTAAGTCTATCCTTATTTGATCCTTGCTTTGATCAATATAATTTATGTGTTTGGTTACCTCATTAAAAGCCTTACCAAGTAACAAAACCCAATAGGAAAAATAAAACTTGGTTAAAGGAAAAGAGTGTAATGCGGTGTAGATGGGGAACTCCCCCTCAAGTCTACCCATATCCTTAATAATTACATTAATCAAGGATATTTGGAAAGTTCATACATTCCATTAATTTTACGTTAATCACCATATCGAAGGCACACAAATAGAGGAATATATTTCCTTTAATTCTCCCCCTGTGTGCCAAGTATAAGGTGATAAGGGTAAAAAGACCCTTGCGAATGAACAAAACCCAACGGGAAAAATAAACATCGGTCAAGGAAAAATATATGATGCTCTAATAAGCATGTGTCAATTCCTTCAACATATTTTTTACCTTTGCAAAATTAAAATGTGGTGCATATTATGTTGTCTCAAAAAAAACTTTGCCAAGTAACAAAACCCAATGGGAAAAAGTAAGACTTGGTCAAAAGAGAAAAAAAAAGAGGACAACACACCAATATACTTGATGATAAATAAGTATGTAAGGTACTCCCCCCAAGTAAAACACATCAATACTTGACATATACTTTTATATATATATATATATATATATATATATATATATAACATCATGGTTACTTTCATGATAAATATATATATTCATTAGGAAAATACTAATGAGATAAGGGGATCCCATCATCGATAAGACTCAAATCACGTTACTTTGTGATAGAGTAATACTTTTGATATTTCAAATTCCTTTTGGAATATTATTATCATCAATCATTCAATTCAATGTATAAGGGATGATTAAAGATTACACCAATGATTTCATATAGATATTGAAGCACATTCTGCATACCATTCCAATGATGATTATACGATGTGTCGATCCTGAACTGCTTTTAGCTAACACATTATTGAGAATGTAATATTTGGTCGAATGTGTTTGTCAAAGTACAACCATGTGCATATTGCACTTACATAGGGAATTCCTTCTCCCAATAGAATGGATCTTTTTAAGTATCCATATTTCGACCGATCATGGGAGTGCTAACAGTTTACATTTATCCATGTTAATTTGCCTGAGAATTCTTTTGGATATATGCAACTGGTGAATTAATATTCAGCCAACTCGGTGTTTAATTTCCAAATAGACCCGAGTTTCCCAAGATCCTTTTTATCTCAATTATGACTTTCAAGTACTTAACATGTCTCATGTCCATTATGAGTACATATTATGTCTATATCATGGGGATACAGTAATATTTGAACAAAACTAATTTCCATTATAAATGCGCAAAGCATAATATATTCATTTTCATCCCTTTTTAGTCAAGTGATCACTTAGACTGGTATGTCACTCCTGTCTGGATTGATTTAATCCAAATGTGAACATTTCAATGTAATTATACATTGTAATTAAAAATCACTTGATTAGAGATAGTAAAAACATAACAAATGATATGCTTCATATATATCTCCTAAATGAAATTTTAACTGAGACATTAACTATCCACAATTTTTAGTTGTGTCTCCGTTACTTTGGAGGCTACTTATAGATTAAGTAGTTGAACATTTTTGTGTTCAAAATAGAGAAGTATAACTTTTCATATTTGAATCCTGGGCATTATGAGAATAATTAGGACCTCATTATCTCAATATGCTTTCCAACAAAGAATTATTTTATGTCCTACAGGCTTTACACTTGGTTGATTAGCACTATCACACCAAATACCAGTTTCTTTGTCAAATATTAAATTTATATCTGGATTACTTTCACACATTTAGGCCAATATTCTCATTGCTTTCATCTTGCAATAGAGTATGGTTCGATATCATCGTGCTCTATACTCCTTTGAGCAACCGTATAAATATATCGTCAGTAGGGGTGTATGGTCGACTCATACACACTCTCATTAGCATTGAGATTTTAAGTCTCTGGAATCATTTGAACTTCGGGGCGTCCCCCATTATTGATTCATGGACATATTTAGTCAGAGATAATCTCGTGAGAGGAATTCATATGATGACGAATATATTCCTTTGTGCCTTATCTATCCTCTAATACTTGGGGTAGATAATTAATCGAACCATGTGGATTCCCTCTATTCCTTTAGAGAGCCACGGCCTCAATCACAACTCCAGTATTTGTGATTGCAATGCTTCTTCCTTTAGCATTGTGTCTTTTAATTCAAATGCAAGCCTTATAAATATGTTTGCAGCTAGTGTAAACAATTTGATTACTTAAATCATTTATTTACTTTAACTTCAATGTTACATTTTGAAGTCTAAGATTTATCATTAAGACAAAGT